ATTATAATACAAAGTGACACATATTAAGTGACAAATAAATGGCCTCAGCATCTGACCATTAAAGAGACCCTTACAATGTAACACCTGGAGTCACATTTGGAAGAGATGGTGAGTCAGAACACAAACCACCTACCAGGAAAAGAGGAGGCTGCCCCCGCCCCTGATATAATGTGCTGCCATGTTCCAATACATTTCTTTCTTCAGTCTGCTTGAAGACTAGTTCTCCAGAACAGAATATCTCCATTTTGTTAAGACATGCTTCTTAGAAGATACCTAATTGAATGTTACTGTTTGTTTTGGAGGGAAAAATGTAAGTTTACTGCAAACATCACATTTCTTTTTTCATTGAGTAGAGAATTGCAGAAAGGTAGATAGGTATGAGTGAGTTGGAGACGGGGGTCTGGGGAAGAACAGAGATTTGGGCTGTGGCTGCAGAGGGCTCAATCAGTGAGAGATAGCCAGTTGCAGGGTAACTGTGCTTCAGGGAAAAAGAACGGGTGCTGAGTGGCTGACAATTCATGTTGATAGAAGAGACGATGGAGAGGAACCTCAATATTTCTAGACTCTCACATTCACCCTGATAAAGTGCCACCTCAAGGATCACTGGAAGAAGTCTTAGTGGAAAAAAAAGGAGGGATTGAGATTTAACTGAAATTATCAGAAAACTAGTGGAAAAACAAGAAACATTAGGTTACATGATTTGGCCAAATAATAAAACCGTAGCTTTAGACTCTGAAATTTACAGTAATGAGAGTGTCCTCAGGGGAGTGATGAAAATATCTAACATGTATGATCAACTCTCTTAAGAGAAATAAGAATTATATTTAATGTACAGTATATTTCTAAAGAATGAGAAGAGAGAATTTTAAATGTTCTCACCACAAAGAAACGATGAATATTTGAGGTAATGTATATGATAATTAACCTGATGTAATTATTCCACAATGCATACATGTATTGCAACATCACATTTTACCCCACAAATATATACCATATTCTTTGTCAACTAGAAGTAAGATAAAATAATTTAAAAAACCAAAACACGCTAAAGAGGAATTAACAAAAGAGAACATTCAATATGTTTGTAGTATTTGGAGAAGGCTTTGTAGAAAAAGCAGTGCTTGAAAGATTTCTGTGTTTTATATAAGTTGAGATGAAACATTTCCAGGCTCTTAGAATGGCGTGTGTAAACGTGTTGAGCAAGAATGTACTTGTAGCATTTCTTTTCTTGATCTTGCTTTACTCTCTCAGAAACATTAACTGAGTATCTGCATCTTACATAGTGTTATGTCAGAAGCTAAAAGACGACACAAATACAACCCCTCTTAGAGAATTTCTAATCCAGTGAGGGAGAAAGAGCAGAAAGATTGTTCAGTAACTTCAATATCCTATATACAGTGATGAATGATAAAAATGGTTATGAAAGTACAGAGGGGTTCCATTTATGTCAATTAATCTGGTTTTCATGATTTTTAATTTCCATGTAAAGCCTGAGTTGTAATTTTTGTCATTGTGTTGTAGGAAATTTTATGTAATCTCTTTAAACAATTAAATTGCTATTTGAATAATTTCTCTTTCACCTTGACTTCTTCATGGCTCTCCTTACCTCATTTCAACAATTTATTCACTGCCTATTTTCATTTTGCTTGGCAGTTTTTTTCTCCTTCTTGCTGAGAGATCATAAACAAAACAAAAGAAAACCATACTGTATATAGTTTGACCTGATCATAAAAGAAATGATTTCTCTCCTTTCCATCATTCTACAACCGTATCTTCTTGTATCCTTCCCACATCCATGCTGGGCTCAGAGACAGAGGGTACCTTATTCCTTTTGATAACCAATAACTCTGCTTAAGCTCCTGACCATCAACCATAAACACTTAGTTCAGTTCAAATTGAACTGAACTAGATACATATAAAGGGAGCTGAGCTTGCTGTGTCAAGAGTCTAGGGACTCTTACTGAAAATAAAAAAATGACTAATTTAAAACATCTACTACATGCGAGGCATTTAATTAGGCCCAGTGCATATCAGCAGTGTCAGAGACAAAGAGACAACTGCTACTAGTTGTAGAGTGTATAAGGATAGGATGTATCTAACAGATAAGGCAGAAGAGATAATAATGTGGAGTGGCAGATTTGGAGTGTGTGCATACATGAATGTGTCTGCGTGTGTCAAGAAGAACTAGTTCCAGGAATCTTAACAGTGTATGATTTATAACTGTGTGAAGTTTTGATAGATAGATATGAGTTTACAAGGATGAAAAACAGGAGAAGTGTGCTTTTGCTGTGTCATTTATAACATGAGGAGAGATATGAATAAAAGAATAACATAAGCCAGTTTGCTGGATAACTACAAGAGAAGGGGTATATCAAAGTGTTAAACATGAGGCTAGGTGCTGTGGGAAATGAAGCTAGAGAAAACATTAGAGGTCAAATCATGAAAATCTTAAATTCCATGGAAAGTGAAATGAACTTAAGTTTTTGCAGAGCATCAAGAGCCAGACATTTCTAAATATTTTATTCACCTTTTATTCACCACTGGAAGCAATGCGCTTTGCTTTTAATAAATAAAACATTCTTCATCTCTTCTCATTTAACACCAACAAAATTCCTCTCCCTCTTTAGTATCTTTTTATTACCAATTGGTTGCTTTTTCGCAGTCTGCAATGCTCAAGTTTTACTCTAACTCAACATAAAATCTTCCCACAATTTTATATAGGTATTTCCAAACCATTCATTTCAACCAGGATGCATTGAATAGTTTTCGTAATTAACCTTGTGCTTTGATAGTGAGGGATACAAGACATAAACCCTGTTTTTCTCTCAGTTTCCTGCTGTATCTTTTTTAAGGAATAAAAATTCCTTTGGAAAACAATCCGCTTTTGTTTATTATTCCTTCACCTTCAGTCACAATCTGAATTCTTTCCCTAATGATTCTGAAAATCCTCCAAATGATGTCACCCGTGATTTTCTACATGCCAAGTCCAAAAGTTTAATCTCAGATTTGTTTTTCTCTCTCTCATCTCAACTTTCAGCAATGTTTACCTCCTCCTCCTTGAAACTTTCTCCTTTATTAGCTTCGATAATGGTTATTTTGTGAGTTTTTTTTTTCCTGTTTGTCAAACAGTGGTTTTGTTCCCTGCCTTATAAATTGTAGGACTCTACAGGGGTCTACTTTTCTCCCAAGAAGTTCCTCTTCTTTTCTTGCTTTTCATATGCTCTCCTTGAGATAGCTTAGTTATTCTCATGGGTGTAAATATCACTTATATCCAGAAGGCTAATAAATCTGCAATCTAATTATAGCATCTCCTGAGTTCTATATTTTAAAAGTTAGCAGAATCTTTAATGCTGTGTCACAGTTTCTGGTTTTAAGCATGAAGGTAGTAAGTAATGAGACATGAAAATACAGTGAAACAATCAAACCTGTAATTTAGAAAAATAATTGACAGCAGTTTGGAGAACAAAGCTCCTTGCTTCAAGTGGTGAATAAAAGGTGAATAAAATACTGTGTCTACCACTGAGGGATATCTCCACCCATCATCCCTCAGTTACTTCAACCTCTATATGAGAAATACAACTCATTCTCTCCTCCCTCCAAACCTGGCTCTCCCTCCTGTTTCATTTATCAGCAGATGACATAGAACTCTAGCAAAGCATTTAATTAAAATTACTACCCACCACACACACACACACATGCACACACACACGCACACTCACACACATGTGCACACACACCCTCCTCTTGCTCTCTCATCCCCTACATATAAAGATTAGTTTTTAATTGATTCTATTTCTGAAACATCAAAAATGAGAACTTCAGGAGGTCTATAAAGAAGGCCAAGCAATTGTCGCTAGTGGACACTTAAGCTGTTATTTCATTATGCTTTTCTTACATTGAGAAAACCTTAACTGTTTATATCCAAGACTAGAGGAGGACTAATGGATAGTCTTAGAAGGAGGCAGTAAATTTCCACAAAGCATCTCTTTTGTGCTGCCTTCACTCTCAAATCTTTCCAATCCATCCTCTCTTATCCATATATTCCTTCATTTTCTCTCTTGTGAAATAAGCTATATTCTCAGCTAATTTTCCTGTCCACTCAGATTACAACGATGCTCTTCTTTCATTGCACTACTATAAGCTACAGCCTGTGGCTGTCTTAATCTGCTGAACTAGCCTATATAGTGTCATCAGTATTCTCTATGCTATTGCCAATGGTATGGCTATTGCGTATGACTGACCCGGGTTCAGATTCTTGCTCAAACACTAACTAGTTTTGAGACCATCTACCACAATAATAAAAATGTTATTCATAGAAATAGTTACTATTTGTCGGACACTTGTTCTGTGAACGTTATTGTCCTCAGTGCTTTATAGGCATTATCTTAATTCTTACTATAGCATCACGTGACAAGTATCATTAGATTCACCTTAAATTCTCTTTTCTGGTAAAGACACTGAGAATCTGAGGTTCTGAAACATTTGAAATCATACACAGAACTAGTGAAAGTCAGAGCTGAGTTTTTAACCTAGGTCTTTTTAATTCCAAGTCTCCTGCCTCAAAAACAATTGTTTTACTGAAATCTACAAATAATACAAACTTTCCATGACCCAGTTTCCTCATCTATAAGGCAGGATATGCACCGTGTCTAATACCAGTAGCTTGCATGCAACGTGTTCAAAATTGGTAATTTTTCATTTTTAGTAAGAGTTGTTGGGCATAGAAATGACATTTCCTGACTGTGATAAATATATTAGCACACCGATTAAACCGTTTGGCTAACAACAAGTTATCCAACCTTTATCTGGCAGAACAAAATACTCATTCTCTACATATTTCCTGGGAATAAATAATTCTGCAAATTCTACCATTCTCCTCAGCCCACCACCCCAGTATCTAATCGAATTCTGCACACTGGGAGGAAATTATTCCCTGTGGGTGAGAAAGTCCAATTTATCTAGAGTCAAGCATTTTCATGGAACAAAACAGTTTTACTTACAGAGCCCATACAGTAGATCGGCCTGTCCCTTTCAGGCTGACTCAGAAGACTAAGGAGGCTTTAGATTCCAGGGGAGGGCCGAGCTTACAAATATAAGGAGACTTATTCCAGCCTGATTGGAAACAGGCACAGAGCTGAGAGGCCAATTCCTGGTGGTGGTGCTAACTCACTGTGTTTCCAGAGTATGGAGATTCCCAGAAGACTTCTTTTGCCTCATACAGTCCTTTTATATCTGTTCCATTATGCAATGACTTATTGTGGCTATGTGCTTTATGGGATGATGTAACTTTTTGTTCATGTGTTATTTTACTCAAAAGCTTTTTTATTTAACAGCTTTATTGCTATTTAATTCACATACTATAAAATTCACCCATTTATAGTGTATGATTCAATTGTTTTTAGGAAAGCCACAGAACTGTGCAGAAACCATCATCACAATTTAATTTGAGAACATTTCCATTACCCTTAAAAGGAACCCCATCATCTCTAGCAGTTACTCTGAAGGAGATTTAAAAAAAATGAAATATTGTAGCAAATTGCTAAATGGCATCTCCCTTTATGAGTGAGAGTCAAACTCCTCCTTAACTCCTCAGTATCTGTTATTCACAGCAGTATGGTTTCATTAGCCTACCTGTGGCTCTTTGGAGCAGCAATCTTTCTCTTATAGTTAAAAAATTCATTTACGAATCCACACGTATATCCAGTAAATATTTTATAAGAATGTCCTATGTTCTAAACATTATGCTCAGTGATAGATTTTTTTTAAAGAGAATACACTATAATTCTCACTGTTTAGGATTTCAGTGTAGACTAGATTTCATGTTAACTAATGATAAGGTTATGCTAGAGGCATGAACCAAATGCTTGGTGAATATAGTAGGTAAAAATCTTAGTCCACAACTTAGTTGTGCCTAAAATACAGTTTCATTTACTTTTTTAATAATTTGACCTATTTTATATTTTGGAGTCCTAACCCAACAGGTTGAAGAGAATTAGTCACAGTATTTTGGGTTTCTCCCTACTTATAGTCAAATTTTAAAAATCTTGTATAATACCAAGAAAAATTGTGGGTAGATAGGTGATTGATTTGGCCAATGATATCACCTGCTGTCAGGTTACTATTGCTCTCATTAGTCTTTAATTAATAGTATGCATAGATTGCTACAAGCTGTCCATCTTGTCTCCTTATGGCCTCTTTAGATCATTAGATATTTCCACCAATTTGGACTGCTCTTGGGCATATGTGTCTTTGATTCATTCTCGGTTTCTGTTCCTTACACCCTGCATTTAATCCATTGATAAATCTTGTCAATCTCTTTGAAAACTATAACTAGAAATTGATCAATCTTTATAATCTCCAGAAATGTCACCTTTATTTAAATCACAATTATCTCTCACTTGGGTAATGTCAGAAGTTTCCTAACCATTCTTGCTGCTTCCGATACTATCTCCTTTCCACTACCATGTCTGTTTCACTACTGAAAATGTCATGGCCTGAGATATTTTCTTCTTCATAATTTAATAAAAATGATAAATAACAAGAGCATAATATTTTATTATATATTCCACATCCATGATACTATGCCAAGTGTTTGTGGTAGGCAGGATAATGGTCCCCAAAGATATCTATGTCTTAATGCCTGGAACCTGTGAATATGTGATCTTACATGGCAAAGGGACTTTCAGATGTGATTAAAATTAAATAACTTGAGATGGCAAGATTAGATGGATTAGCTGGGTGGGTCCAATTTGTTCACATGAATCTTTAAAAGTGGAGAACCAGAGAGATGGCAGCATGAGAAGGATTTGATCCACTGTTGCTGGCTTTGAAGATGGCAGAAGGAGGCCACAAGCCAAGGAATGTGGGACTCCTCCAGAAGGAGAAAAGAAGAGAATTGATTTTTTCATAGCCCCTCTACAAAGAAATGCAGCCTGGTGATGCCTTGATTTTAGCTCAGTGAGATCCATGTCAACTTTTGACCCACACAAATCTACTATAATATATTCAGTCGAAGAATCCATTATTAGTTTATGTCTTAAACTATGTTTAAACCAAAAATTAGAGTTTAAGTAACTTATTTAGGTTTCTTAGTTATAAGTGGCACAACCAATATTCAAAGCCTGGGCTACCGGACACTCCTTAAGTTTTCAAAACTCATTTTCTAGAGTCTTCACATGACCATTCATCTACCACTACTTTTAATTAGAGTTATTTACACCCAAAAGCCTGCAGGCATGCTGATGTGACAAACTGAATGTTAAAAAGTTATCACTTGTGCATGCTTATACCTTGCACATAAAGATTTTTTATTATTGTGTTTCCTTACAGTAAACTTCTTGAGACCTTTGAAAACACTTTCTCTACCAAGTTGGGCAAATTCTAGGGCTGACTCCTTTACCATTAGTCTCAGAAACTATTTGGGAATGGTCTCATATTTGCTTTCTTATGGTTGAAAGAATGCTACTCTTATCAGAACAATAGAGTTCCTATAGTGGTACCATGTAAATTCTGTGCCAGAGCTTAGTACATGAAAATGAAACTAGCATGCATACCGGTCAAAGCACTGATATGCACACTGGTACACATACTTCAAAATATGGCCCTTCTTACTGCCCTATTCTTAAGCCAGCCTAGCAGAACAATAGCTTGTAATTTAATTAAAGTCTCTGAAAATCCGAGTTCAATGTTCCTCCATGAAATCACATAGCAACACACTTTATTAGTACATTAACACCATTTAATCCAGGAAACATATCATACTCTCTGATGCCATTTGACTTCACATTAATGTTTCTGGAACATGAAATCTAAACAGGAAGCACTAAATTGGACACAGGAAAACTCTGCACTAGGAACTTGTAATAAGTCTTATTTATTGGCTGTCAACATTCTACTGTAGTAAACAGTAAAATATTCTGGCCTATTAGATCAGTGAATTTCTTTAAAAAGTATAATACACAGTGTTGTGTTGCTGTGTTACAGTGGACTAGGTATTGTTTTACAATGTTTGCATGAACTTTCTGGAAGCAGATTTTCCAGCATATTATTGTCTTAAAATGTCCATAATATTCCATTTCTAAAAATTTATTGAAAGTAACATATCAGAGATGCAGGGCATATTTTTATGTACAGGAAAATTTATTACTCCATTGTTTACAGTGTTCAAAAATATAGATAAAATTCTCAATGGTACAGAATATATAAAGCATTTATATCCAGTCCTAGGATATTACACAACCTTTAAAATTTGTACATGTAACAGCTCACGGGATGATCACGTTTGATCAAGAAATAGAAAAGCAAGTTTCAGGGCTAAGATTAGTACAAGGAGCTAACAGTTTAGTATATAAAAGAAACAGAATTTGATACAGGAGCAATAGGCCAGAGGCAAACCAGGTTATCCAGGGTTAATGTGTTGAAATTGTAGAAATAAACTTAAAGGACAGCAAACAATGACAAAGCATCAAAAAACAGGTTGCTGCATGTTACTGTTTGAATAAGTCTCCCACGTTGGAAATTTAATTCCCAAATTCATATATTGATTAGCTATGAGGCCTTTGGGAGATAAGCAAGATTAGATAAGGTCATGATGATGGGACTGGTGGCTTTATAGAAGAAAAAGAGATCTGAGTGACACACATCCCTTGCCTTTTGCCATATGATGTCCTCCACCATATTATGGCAGCACAGAATCTCTCTCCAGATGCTGGCACCATGCTTTTGAATTTCCTAGCCTCCAGAACTGTGAGCTAAATACACTTCTTTCATTTATAAATTACCTAGTATTTGGTATTCTTTTATAGCAAGAGAAAATAGATTAAGACACTATCAAAAATTATTTTGTTTATACTACTGTTTACAAAAATTATTAAAACTCCGTATCACCAACTAGTCCTCGATGGTCTGATGAAAGCCTCACTCACCTCTTTTCCTGGATCCAGCCATGTTGGATTTAGCAGTTTTCCTACCCTGTTGATATGGCCAACAGTAACCATTCAGTTTTGGTGTATATAGAAATGTCACTCATCCTTACCTCTCTCCCTGTGAACTTCTGGCTATTCCTAGTATTGCTATTTATTCCGTTCCTCTCTGCTCCCACTGTATCTTGTTGTATATGCTTTCAATAAAGTTCTTAATTCATTTATTAAGAGAAATATTGTATATATACTCTACATATATCTGGTATCAAACAAGATCCTGAGGGTATAAAAGTGAAGACAATAGATATTACCCCAAATATTACAATTTGAAGTCTAGTGGGGGATACATATAAGTAAATGGGAAATTAAAATACTGTGTTATAATGACTCTAAAAGTGGTATTCACAGAGATCTTTGCTATTGCAGGGCCAATAATGTTAGCATCAGCTGAAAACTTGTTGGAAATGAAAAGAAAATCAGATCTTCTGAATTGGAACCTACACTTTTGCAAGATACCTAGGGCATTAATGTGCCATTCATATTTGTGAAGCACCGGTATAGATGACGTAGGTATAGAGGCAATTTAGCCTCTTTGATCGAGGGAGGCTAACCAGATGGAATAATATGATATCTGAGTGAGTGAAAAGGCTTTTGTCTGGGAAGCTAGCTAGTAATGAGGGCAGAAGAGTAGAGTAGGGTGAGGAGATGACAGAAGGTTAAGGAAATGTTCCAGGCAGAGTGAACAGCTGTGATATTTCATTGGCTTGGTGGACTGAGGACCAAATTAGGGCACTGCAAAGTAGGGAAACTAAAAGAAAAATTAAAAAAGAATAAAAATCCCACAAAATTAAGCTTCCATTAATTTATCTACAATCTGCAAATCAGAAAATCTAGGATACAAAGCTATTTTAATTTTAATATAATTAAAAAATATAACTGTTTTGAATTATATTTGAAACAGACTTTAGGAACCAGTAAACATCATAATACTGCCTCAGAGAATAGAATGAGAGAAGGTTCAAACCTGAGCCAAACCATGTCGTGTTTAGGAAACTGAAAATGAGTTCTATATGACTGAAGGAGAGAGAGTGGAAGTAAATGTATCTCCACCTAAAGGGTTTGTAAGGCCAGATTTCTGAGGACTTGGGAAGCTAAAGAAAAAGCAGGGTAATGTCCTGATCAGATTTGTCTTATAATGGTTGTCTATCATCTATCAAATCTATGAGTTCCTTGAGAGTAGATAATATACCTTTTCATCTCAACATTGAAACATAGTATCTG